GAGCATGTTTGTCTCAAGTTACATTAAGTATTCCATAACTTAATGGAGCATGTTTGTCTCAAGTTACATTAAGTATTCCATAACTTAATGGAGCATGTTTGTCTCAAGTTACATTAAATATTCCATAACTTAATGGAGCATGTTTGTCTCAAGTTACATTAAATATTCTGTAACTTAAACTATATAGAAAGTCATCAAGACTTGGAATTTAATCATCCTAAACATGAGTGACTAACATAATCCTCAAAATCTGTCCTACAAAGTTATTTTGCATGCTAAAATAAACTTCTTGTTTTCAAAGAAACCTTTAATTTGATTTGCATCTAATTCCATTTGCTGATTCTGAACATAAACACAAAAATTATTCTCCAATCTCCAAATAACTTAGTGACTTTGTCCACAAACAGATACATTGGAATTATTCATGTACATAACATAACTTGAAGAAGAAAACTTACTTCCTTCCCCTTTAATAGCTAAGCAGAATTTTATATCCTGGCAATACTGTCCCATCTGTTTAGCTACGTTGGCTGTTTGTATAGCTAATTCATACGTTGGTGAGAGGATGAGCACCTTAAAAGTAAGAAAAATAATGATTAATAGTCTTATTCTTAAAAACACTACATTCTTCAGATGGGGATGGGAGATTTTTTGTTTTTGAGAAAAAGTATTCAAATGACAGCCCAACTTCGCTTTAAAACTTTAGCCTAGTGAAACATTCATAACTTATGTATTACTTCTGTATTCAAGTATTAAAATTATAATGAATACAATGAGTATGATTGGCTTTGAAGTTGTTGAAAATTTCTTGGTGTGTCTAGTTCACAAAGGAACAACATACTGACTGTCAAAACTGCGAGACCGCGAGGTGAAGCCTTGGGGTAAAACAATTTGTGGGAGGTAGCACAAGTATGGGTGGGGATCAACTGATCCAAATACCTTCAATGCTGCATATTATTATATACTTATTACTGTTACTATTATATTACATACATGTAAATACAGAGATATATATGATCTCATCTCTGTCAAATAGTTCTTGGGTTTTAACTTTAAGAAGCCCTCCAGTGGCATAGCGGTATGTCTCTGGACTTATAATGCTAGAAACTGGGCTTCGATACCCATGGTGGGCAGAGCACAGATAGCCCTTTGTGTAGCTTTGTGCTCAACAAAAACAAACAAACTTTAAGAATAATTCATACAGAAAAAAAAGAGCAATCTTCATTAACCAAGTCAAAGATTCCCAGTATTTTCTTCAGATCTTCCATATGACAGTACCTATGTTACTTTGATACAGCATTAGACTTACTTTGTACCAACTTTTTTAATCTTCCATATGACAGCACCTATGTTACTTTGATACACACATTAGACTTACTTTGTACCAACTTTTTATTTTTCTTGTTTAGGTTACTGAATTTTAGATAAATTTATAATTTTCTTTTAATAGTATCAATTTAATGTCAACAACAAAGCTGCTTGCAGCTGTTTAAAGTAAAAGAGATCGCCGAAAAGATAATTATTACATAAATATGACTAACTGTTCAAATGTAAAAATAAGCATGAATTTGAAGAACAAATTTTCTGTACACTGACACAGGTACGTCACACCAGGTAAGTTACTAACCTGACATAGAAAACTTTCAATAAACAAATAAATCGAACAAAATGACAACATTTAACATAATAAAAAGAGAACATAAGAGAAAAATCTATTGAGTGAAAAAAAAAATGTGTGTCAAATAATGGTTTGATTCTTGGGAAAAGAATGGATAGGAGGATAATCAGAAATTAGTCTTGGCAGAGCTTGAAGAACACACAAATCATTCATTATGTTCTCAAACACATCCCCGAGGAAAAGATCTAGAGGTATTATTTTATAGATATCTCAATCATTTACGTACTTAAGTTTAGTGGCATTAATGTTATGTTATTATCACAGGAGGAAGACATGACAACGAGTTATGTATAAAAATCGATTTTCAATCAGGCAATATTAGTATGGTTTTTTGTTTTTTGTAAATGCAAATACAATTATTTTGTTTACCCAAAATCAAGAGCCATCACAAAGAGCATGAGGTTGTTCTCAAAGTGGCAAAGGTAAAAAGGAAACCAGTTTAATTTAAAAATAAATCTTATTCTTTATTGGCAATCCTCAGGACCATGGTGTATGCATAAGTCTAGTCAGGTGCTAAAAAATAAATCTAACACTTCATCAAACCACTAATAAATGCAGCATTTCAGAGACAAGTTAATTTTAAGAAGTATGATACAGTTGGACTTATAATTGCTGTTGATTAGTTTACAATTACAGCCTAAACTTTTATCAAGCTTGTAGTACCTACTAATCTTGCAAGGATAGGCTGTTGCTTCCACACTTGAAGTTTCATTTCCTCCCTTACTGATCTTAACGTTTGCAGAACTTTTATCGCTGTTTAATTAAATGAATATAAAAAAATACCTTCTTAACAAACCTGAGGAAAAGGCTTAGATGTGTCAACTCTACTAAGACTAGCTAGTATGAAAGCAGCAGTTTTTCCTGTGCCATTCTGTGATTGAGCAATCATATTTTGGGGTCTGTCAAGAGAGAGAGAAAATATAAAAGAATGAGTGTAATACATCTAAACTGTTTTTAAATGTGTGAAAATTTAGCACTGTTAAAAATAAGAGGAAATTCTCAATCTATTTATATTTTGGTTTGGCTGAGTTGTTTAATGAAATCTAGACTCGAGAACATCTAATAGTTTCTTACTGTGAAATTTATTAGTAAATAAACATTTATACAAGTAAAAAAAAGTAAAACTTTTGAATGAGAAAGCATTTTACTGAATGATTACAATTTATAATTGTTCTGTGTGTAATTGTAACTTTAAAATTTAGTAAAAATTCAACCATTTATATCTATAACTAAAGTTTCATTATTCAGTTGATGTGTTTGTACACATAACACATGTGCTCCTTTTAGTTTAAATAATACACACAAACCTACTACACATCTTTCCAATTCATACATTACATCTTCATCATTCAATTTTCTTTCATATTTCATTACTAAACACACATATCAAAAGCACATGTTTACTTATGAAACATTATTCCTAATCAGTCATCCAGGATGAGCTTTGGTGAAAAGATTTGTTGTCTGTTTCAATAGTTTTCATGCAAAGAAACATAGTGGGCTATGGGCACATAGCCATTCTTCAATTTTAACTGCTAGACTAGAAGAAAGGCAGCAGGTCAACAACACCCACCACAAACTCTTGGACTGATCTTCTCTGACCAAACAGTGGGATTTAACCACCACATAGCTCCTACAGCACACACTCACAGCTCCAGTGTGTCTCATGTTTTAGTGGAAATAGATCTCAACCCATGATCCCTCAGATTCACAGTCTGAACACACCACTAGGCCATGCTCAGCCTACTAATTAAATGAAACTACATTACAAATATATCTCAAAATATGCATATCATCCTTTTTAAAACAAATATCAGAAATATCAAATTACTCTTGTATCACAAAAAAATATGTTGAATACTGAAGAATAAAGGAGCATATATTTCCTAACACACAGAGCAAGAAAAAAACTTACAACGTAAAGCTTATATCATTTTATGACTTACGGATCTGCCAACAATGCTGGTAGAGCAGTTTCTTGGATTTTGGAAGGAAAATTGAAACCCATAGCATAAACACCTTTTAAAAGATTGTGATTTCTGAAAATACATAATACATAATTTACATCTGGCTCCTATGATCTCTGTGCTATAACAACTTATTCCATAAAACTGACAGAGTTCATATAAACATAAATTCTGTCTGAAGTGCTTTTGTTTTCTCCCCACTCATTAACATAAGCACATAATCCCACAAGTATTGAGATTTTATAGTTCATAGGAAACGTTCAAATTAAATAAAAAAATTTGGATGAAACGTGTAAGATGAAAGGTTGTGCCGGTCCTTACAGAGAAGCTACAAGATGCTGGAAAATTATCATCATATCCAAATTATTCATAAGCATATTTCCACTGATTTAAAAGTTATTAGGACCTTAAATGATGATGCAGATGTCTTTAATTACTTTATTCTAATGAGTAATTATAATTTAAAACTAACAGTCTTGGGGTTTGAAAGATAATGATAACGAGATTAGTACTAGAGAAATAATAAGTTGAATGCAGTTTTATCTCGTGTACAAGATTCATGTATATCTGAATTTTGATACCAGCGTCAGCAATTTTTAAATGTTGATTACATCTCAAGTTTTGGAACATAAGTAAATGAAATTAAGTCACATGTGCATTTATGCTGTCCTCTATCCAACTTAATACTTACATATTTAACTGCTCAAAGGACCTTACAGAATACAAGGGGGAATTGGGGTCCTTCTGTTGAACTTCTACGTCATGAGAGCTTTGAACCAATCTTTTACGGAGGATCTTCTTCATGAGTGACACTTCAGCTGCAGAAATTTCTATCAAGTAATTAAAAAATATTTCAAACTATAAACAAAGAGTAGTGGAATGAGAAATAAGCCAATATTTTTTCTTAAACCATAATATCTCATTATATTTGTAAAATAATTTCTATCATAAGATTTTGTTAAATAGAGTACCTGAATCTTCAAACAACAACAGAAAAAAAGTTATGGATACAAGTTAATGAAGTAATTGAATTATTTCAGAATTTTTTCAATGCCCCCCTGAATCGAACAATGTTTGTCTATAATGGCTGGAGACGGCTTGAATGGGTAGCGAAGAAAAACTTTAATACAAGTTTAACATAACAGCAAATGTACAACGTTTCGACAAGGTTTTGTCATGATCAGGTTGTACATTTACTGTTAAGGTAAACTTATATTAAAGTTTTTCTTCATTACCCATTCGAGCCGTCTCCAGCCATTATTAGTCTCAAAGTGGGTTCCTCGTCATCGAAAATAAAAATGTTTGTCTATGTGATAGTTAATGAACCCAAACAAACACACGAAGCATCAATATATTTCCAATAATACCTTAAATGAACAATACCTTCTTCAGCTTTGTATTCATCTCTTTGAAGCTATAGAAATAAAAAGTTCTCTTTTAATGTGAATGTTAAAATATGAATTTTATCTCAAAAACAAAGAAACCATCATGAGTGACAAGACAGGGACAAAAGACAAGCTCTAGAACCACCTTCTTTTATGGAAGATAAAAATGATATTTACAACTTCGAATCAGCATCACAAGATTGGTGACTAATCTTAAGATAAAACCAGCATTGCCAAAAATAAAAAATCCTTGGATTGGTGGACACTTCAGTATCATGACTCAACAAATAAAGAGGACAAATATATTTTGGAAACAGCATGAGCTGTAACTATGTTTGTTTGAATGTTTTAGCACAAACCTACACAATTGGCTATCTGCTCTCTGTCCACAGCAGTGACTATTACTGATTAGATAACTTTGACATTTAAAGATTAAGTAGATATGCCATATACTATAAAGGCCAGGCTTTCTTAAGTGTCCATTTTTAAACTGATGATTTATACAGTTCTTGAAAATATAACTACTGAAAAACCTTGTGACAACAAGCTAACACTCGGGCAACATTCTGTCATATTTTAAAAAATCTAATACTCGGGCTACATTTTGTCATATTTTAACACCTTGATGAAGGTGACTACTGTTTTCCACGTGTTCTCCTTTACCAGATTATATTGTACCTAGAATATAAAAACAAACAAATTGTAAGAAGGTTTTCCCTTCTGCTACCTTTAATCTGTGATAATATTTCAGCTGCCGACTTTGTTTACCATCCATTCTAAAAATACAAATATGAAACCATCACCGAAATGCATACCACCTCTGTATATTAGCAAAGACAAGTGTAGAAATTGATGTGATCTCCTTTATATTACTAGTAAATACGGCTACACCAGGCTAATAAAAATAGTTATTTTGTATTAAACTACTTCAACAGATCCTAAACATAATGTGGCATTAAGAAGTGTAAAGTATATATAATTATTCACTGTTTAGCTAATATCCAAGTGGTGGCCAGAACTAACTTTTCTGTTTCTGATAGATTTATTCTGTTAGCTAGGTAACAATACTTACTGGTTAGCTAATATCTGAGTGGTGGCTAGCACTAACTTTTCTGTTTCTGATAGATTTACTCTGTTACCTAGGTAACAATACTTACTGTTTAGCTAATATCCAAGTGGTGGCCAGAACTAACTTTTCTGTTTCTGATAGATTTATTCTGTTACCTAGGTAACAATACTTACTGTTTAGCTAATATCTGAGTGGTGGGCAGAACTAACTTTTCTGTTTCTGATAGATTTATTCTGTTACCTAGGTAACAATACTTACTGTTTAGCTAATATCTGAGTGGTGGCTAGCACTAACTTTGCTGTTTCTGATAGATTTACTTTGTTACCTAGCCGTTTTAAACTTTTATTTTGCACATCTCTCATAATTAGCAACTGTATCCTTTGCATATAAAATCTTAAGTATTTACCGAAATCCTGCTGCCACTTCCCACAGTCTACACTTCTCTGTCTATTGCCTCTACTCTATTTAGGACAATTAAGTCCACCAACCTGCAAGCTGTACAAATAAATTGAACATCTTAACTTCTAACTTCTTCAAAAGTCCAGAGTTCCCAAATAAGACCCATTCATTGCACCAATCACACCCTACAAACAGTGAGCACTTAACACCTATACTAGTTTTAACTATTGTGGTCTGGGAATAAATAATCAGCACTAATTACAAGTAGCCTATCGACAACACTATTAAGTCTAACATTAATTAAATGTATTACACTATTTTATCACAACCCTTTCTTCAATTTGCTTTATATACAATAGTAATAGGATGTTTTACCTTTAATTGTGTATTTGTGTGCTTTTATTTATCAAAAAACCAAACTTACCTCAAACCCTCTTTGTTTCAATCTACCAATTAAACCCAATCTATAGGTCTCATAGTTGCACAGTATGACTACCAACCCATTCACAAAAAAAAGAAAAAAAAGACTTATTTAAGTGTGAGTAACAATCTATGGAAAATTTAAAAACCTTAAACTAAATTCTGATATTTCAGACGGGTAGGAGTTCAGTGTTATCCAGTGGGGGTTTTGTTACTAATTCTAGAATTAATAGGTTCACATAATGTCACAATCTTTACAGAACTTTCATGTCTACAGTTTTAGTTATTGAAAATAGTTTAAGGTAATAATAAACCACTGTCATATGGTGATAACCATTAGTATAAATTTTTACAATACTTAATGCAAGCTATATAACAGTTGCCTATGATGTGCAATTTTTATGTAGAGATTGTAGGTTGGACAAGAAGTTAGAGGCAATCACGATTAAAGTAGAACCAATAGATAAAGAGAAATGGCAGCAGGATTTCAGGAGGAGCTTAAGCTTTTACATGCAAAGGATATATCAGCTAACAATTACTTTCAGCAAGTTAGAAACAGTACTATTACGGTAAAAAGTAGTGAATTTTATTATAATGAGCTTATTCTGTTGATCAACAGATTTCAGCCCTTGACTTCTGCAGATGAGGTACTATTGGAGGGAAGGAAAACAAAAGGGTCAGAGAAGGATGTGGATGGTAAGGAGGTTATAGTTATAGGTAATTCCTTGACAAGGCAGGTCGATAGAATAGTCTGTGAGGTAAATATGGAGAAAATAATTAGATTATGGTACCCAAGGGCACAGGTGGAGGATATAACTGACAGAGCAGGAGATATAATAAAGGGGGTTAGCAGAGATGAAGTTTTTATTGTGAATGTAGGGGTTAATGATGTAGAGAAAGTTAGGTCAGAGGAACTAATTAATAAGTACAAGGGGTTGATAAAAGCATTGAAAGAAAAAGGCCATAACTTAATTTTGTCAGGATACTGTCCAGGATTAATTGTGGGGATGATTTTTAATGATAAATTTTAAATATTCAAGGTAAACATATTCCTTATAGAAAGAAAAGGGTAGCTACAAGTAAAAAAACCAGGTTGGGGCACAAAGAGTTTAAGAAATAAAATTAAAGAAAAGCATCATAAATTTAAGAAATTTAAATTGACTGGTATGACAGGAGACTTAGAAGATTATAGAAGATCAAGAAAGTTGGTGAAACAGGAAATTAGGACATCAAAAAGGATGTATGAGAAAAGTTGGCTGAAAGTGTAAAAATTAACAGTAAGGATTTCTTTAAATACATTAAGGGTAAACAAAATGTTAGGATGGGGGTAGGACCTTTGAGGGATGATAAAGAAAGACTAGTATCTGATGATTATGATATGGTCGGGTTGT